TTGATATCCCTACACCTAGTGCAGTAGCTACAACATTTCCCAGTCCAGATACATTGGTCTTACATGATCCTATTCACTCATCTGCAGCAATAACTGAAGCACCAGAATCATCTTCACAGTTTCAGGCACCCTTACTGAGGAAATCGATGAGAACCAGAAAGTCGGCTATTCCACATGATTATTTGTGTTATCTACAAGAAGTTGAATATGATCTTGGTGATGAAGATGATCTCGTGAATTACAAACAGGCAATGGCGAGTTATAAAAGTGAATTATGGAAGGCTGCAATGACAGAAGAACTTGCTTCCATGGAAAGTAATCATGTTTGGACCTTGGTTGATGGTTCAGACACCAAAAAAGCAATAGGGTGCAAATGGGTTTTTAAAACCAAGCGGGATGCTCATGGGAGGATTGAAAGGCTTAAAGCACGCCTTGTAGCTAAAGGGTTTACACAAAAAGACGGCTTGGATTACACATAAACGTTTTCTCCAGTCTCTACCAAAGACTATTTCCGAATTATCATGGCTCTTACAGCTCATTTTGACTTGGAACTTCACCAAATGGATGTCAAAACAGCTTTTCTTAATGGGAATCTTGATGAAGACATTTATATGGTACAACCTCCTGGATTTGTTGAAAGGGGGCAAGAACATCTGGTGTGCAAGCTAAATAAGTCTATCTATGGTTTAAAACAAGCTTCGCGACAGTGGTATAAACGTTTTGATCAAGTTGTACATTCCTTTGGTTTTGTGGAGAACAAAATTGATAATTGTATCTACATGCAGCAACACAAATCTTAATTCATTTTTATGGTTTTATATATGGATGATATATTGTTGGCATGCTCTCATGTCCAATTAATGACTGAAACTAAGAGAATGTTGTGCAATAGTTTTGATATGAAAGATTTGGGAGAGGCTCATTATGTTTTGGGCATTGAGATTGTGAGAAACATGCAGAATGGAACTTTGGGGCTTTCTCAGAAGAACTACATTGATAGAGTGTTGAAGAGATTTAATATGGAAGCTTGCAATGCAGGTGATGTCCCTATTGGTAAAGGGGATAAGTTCTCTCTCTCACAGTGTCCTCTAACTGAACATGATCATCGAGTTATGAGAGATAAACCGTATGCATCTCTAATTGGCAGTGTCATGTATGCACAAGTTTGCACCAGAACTGATTTAGCTTTTGCATTAAGTGTACTAGGCAGGTTTCAATCAAATCCGGGTATTGCACACTGGAATGCAGGCAAAAAGGTAATGAGGTATTTGAAAAAGACACGAGATTATGTACTAAGTTATCATCGAGTTCAAAACTTGATATCCCTACACCTAGTGCAGTAGCTACAACATTTCCCAGTCCAGATACATTGGTCTTACATGATCCTATTCACTCATCTGCAGCAATAACTGAAGCACCAGAATCATCTTCACAGTTTCAGGCACCCTTACTGAGGAAATCGATGAGAACCAGAAAGTCGGCTATTCCACATGATTATTTGTGTTATCTACAAGAAGTTGAATATGATCTTGGTGATGAAGATGATCTCGTGAATTACAAACAGGCAATGGCGAGTTATAAAAGTGAATTATGGAAGGCTGCAATGACAGAAGAACTTGCTTCCATGGAAAGTAATCATGTTTGGACCTTGGTTGATGGTTCAGACACCAAAAAAGCAATAGGGTGCAAATGGGTTTTTAAAACCAAGCGGGATGCTCATGGGAGGATTGATAGGCTTAAAGCACGCCTTGTAGCTAAAGGGTTTACACAAAAAGACGGCTTGGATTACACATAAACGTTTTCTCCAGTCTCTACCAAAGACTATTTCCGAATTATCATGGCTCTTACAGCTCATTTTGACTTGGAACTTCACCAAATGGATGTCAAAACAGCTTTTCTTAATGGGAATCTTGATGAAGACATTTATATGGTACAACCTCCTGGATTTGTTGAAAGGGGGCAAGAACATCTGGTGTGCAAGCTAAATAAGTCTATCTATGGTTTAAAACAAGCTTCGCGACAGTGGTATAAACGTTTTGATCAAGTTGTACATTCCTTTGGTTTTGTGGAGAACAAAATTGATAATTGTATCTACATGCAGCAACACAAATCTTAATTCATTTTTATGGTTTTATATATGGATGATATATTGTTGGCAAGCTCTCATGTCCAATTAATGACTGAAACTAAGAGAATGTTGTGCAATAGTTTTGATATGAAAGATTTGGGAGAGGCTCATTATGTTTTGGGCATTGAGATTGTGAGAAACATGCAGAATGGAACTTTGGGGCTTTCTCAGAAGAACTACATTGATAGAGTGTTGAAGAGATTTATTATGGAAGCTTGCAATGCAGGTGATGTCCCTATTGGTAAAGGGGATAAGTTCTCTCTCTCACAGTGTCCTCTAACTGAACATGATCATCGAGTTATGAGAGATAAACCGTATGCATCTCTAATTGGCAGTGTCATGTATGCACAAGTTTGCACCAGAACTGATTTAGCTTTTGCATTAAGTGTACTAGGCAGGTTTCAATCAAATCCGGGTATTGCACACTGGAATGCAGGCAAAAAGGTAATGAGGTATTTGAAAAAGACACGACATTATGTACTAAGTTATCATCGAGTTCAAAACTTGAATGTTGTCTGTTATAGTGATGCTGATTTGGGAGGATGCATTGATGATAAAATGTCCACAAGTGGATATATTTTCATAATGGCTGGAGGTGCAGTGTCATGGAGAAGTAGGAAGCAAACCATAAGGGCTGTTTCTACAATGGAGTCAGAATATATAAGATGTTTTGAAGCAATGAGACATGGCATATGGTTGAGAAATTTGATCTGTGACATGAAGATAGTTAAAAGCATTGAAGAACCAATCAAGATTTATTGTGACAATACTTCAGCTGTGTTCTTTGCCAAAAACAACAGAGGTCCGAAGCTTCAAGGCTTATGGATATCAAATACTTGAAGCTCCAAGATGAAATAAGAAATGGAACTATTGATTTGGAACATATTGGCACGTTTAATATGTTTGCAGATCCATTAACCAAGGCATTACATGTGACAGCATTTCAAAGGCATCTGCCGAATATGGGACTGCATACATCTATCGATAATGTTTGAATGTGGGAGTAAGGTAATTCTCCGTACCTTTAAGTCTATATGTTTGATTAGAATGTGTGCTTATGATGGATACAAATCATATTACATGACGATGTAATGCATTTGTGAAAGTTCGATACTAATCAAACATATAATGATGTTTATAATCTTGCAGCAATAAAGAAGGAATGGCAGCTGCAGTGCCATTTCTTATACGACAAGCAATGTGGGAGTAATGCTTGTAATGAAGAGTTCTCTTGTCAGAAGTTTATTCTCACGCGCGATCTCATTAGAATGCGATCAGTTTGTGATTTTAGTACAAATGGTACAACAAATTGTATTATACTGACTAAAGTTCAACTGTTGCTTCTTTGAGTATGTTTGAAAGATTTATTTCAACTTTATCTCAATGATGACTTGCTAGTTATTTCATTTAGATGTTTTGATCATTCTCATGTGGGAGAATGTTAGAACTTGTATGTGAGAAGTGAATCAAACACCTAATGAAGACATGAAATAACATTACTTTAAAGAGATATAATATAAAGAAGATTATACATGTTGATCAATGTATAATATAAGGTGAGAAAACTATAAGTATTGTACAAATTAATATAGAGAACGGTTATAAGGAAGTGGAAAACTGAAAGTAACTGCAACCATGATAGGAGGGGCAGTTACATCCTTATAACTAGGGTTTTGATCCCTTTTCTCGGACATATATGGATCTCTTAATGCTAATGTTGGATCTATCGAAAACAAGGAGTTCCAATCCGTTTCCAAGAGAAAGGAAGATCTCAGCCACGTCTCTATCACCATGGCTACATCCTCAAGTAAGTTTAATGCATTCATTGTCTATCGACAGAATGCATATGCAGAAACTAGGGTTAATAACACTGCATACATACATTGCAGTACGTGGTTCAATTGCATTGTTGGATGTTCAATCTTTTTAAACATATAGATATATATATACACACACACACACACACACACACACACACACACACACACACACTCACAAGGACTACAAAACAGACACATATTTCATATTTGTCACTAGTATTATTCGTCTCTACTTATAAGTGAAGTGTTTTATGTTCGACTCTCATGAATGAGACGATTCAAATTCTCATCCTTAAATATCGTCATGTTAAAACACTACTACAAAATATAACTTTCATGACACTTGGTAAAAATTTTAATGACATTCTTTTACTAAAAATGTCATTAAAATGATATTATGATGCAACTTAAAAAAAAAAGGAAAAATGGGAAGAAAAAAAAAAACAAGTTATTGAAGAAGCTACGAAAGAAAAAGAAAAAAAAAAGGAGAAGTGAGTGAAACATAAACGTGGTGTTTATCGTTGTCACTCAGTATGAATTCCCCACTTTCTCACTAACCTCCCACAACTACACTGACTGCCAAATTCAGTTCTCCCTCTCCAGCATCCAAACGCATTCTCTCTCTCTCCCCTCTTGCCGCCAAGGTCCGTCCCCTCACTTATCTTTATCTTTCAGGTTTTCTTGTTCAATTGTTCGCACTTTCTTTTCATGAAACCCTAAATTAGTGTAGTGGATTTGATCTGTTCAAACATGGAGTAGAAAATGCACTCAAATTTACAAATTTAAATTGTGGAGTACGAAGGCACCTGTCAATTGTCAGAAATCAGTAGAAAATATGCGCTTATGTTTATCCCTCCCCCTCCTCCAAAGAAAGGTCCACCGATCTTTCAATCTCGGATTAATTTTATTTACTATCATAAGGTCTGTGCTTGCTTGCCATTCTCTTTTGCTACGTCTACGTCTCTCTCTCTCTCTCTCTCTCTCTCTCTCTCCTCTATATATATATATATATATATATGTATACTTCAAATGTAAATGTAATGCATCATTCCATCAAGCAATAAGTCATTCAGGTTCGTGTTGTACTTCTCATTCGTTTCTCTTAATTTAGGGCCTCAGATGAATATGAGCAGATATTATAGATGACAAAAGTAAACTAACCAAATAAAAATTAGAGTGAACGAACATAAAAGTTATATTCTACATTAATCAGAATATCATGCTTGATTATATATATGTTTTTTGGATGGTGACTGAAATATGACCACAAATGAGTGTGTGGAATCAGTAACTAGCTTCAATTAGTCTGCTTTTTTGGGATTATTTTTCTTTTCGATTGTGGATTTTTTATCGTTATTGTTCAATTTATTGGAAGTCAGAAAAACTCATGTCTTGCTTTTGCAAGATATAATGAGTTTGATTAGTAGTGATTAACTTTGATTTTGATGCTATCAGTATGTTGGTTCTTTTATGATTGCATGTATTTCCCCTTATGGTCTTTCATTCATGTTTTATGGTTCTCCATCATGTGTTTTTGTATCAACTTTAGAGTGTAGACTCTAAACACGATAGCACCTCAATCCAGTAAGATTGGGTATTAAATATAATTGTGAGAAGACATTTATTGGATGAGTTCTTTGAAGTTATAAATCTATAGCCTTCAATTCTGAAATAAGTGGAAAATGAATTTAAGGATAGCAGTAGATTATTTAGTACATTTGATACATATTAATTATATGCATTCAGAATCCAAGATAACTGAAGAAGTGGAACCATACTATGGTCGCATCTTTCTAACTTACGTCATTTTTATGTAGCTTCTTCCTTGATTGGTTTAGTAGTTTTGTTTGTTTATTTGGGAGTTCGTGTTTGGTTGCTGAAGATTTGATGGATTTTTGCGTTCGTTTTTGGTTTGGTGGCAATCATTGTTGAATGGATATGGGGAACACATAGATGGTGACTATGATTCCCTCACAGCACTGATATTGTGGAAGCTGGTGTAAGTTAGTATGGAATGTTGTTTTGTTGTGTCGAATTTGTTCGTATGGGTATGAAGTTTCCTGTTTGATTATATTTTAGATTAGCCGAATGACAACTGAGACCGGGCAAATTGGCTCGTCGAAAAGCGGGGGAACGGTTTTTGTGAATGAGAACAATAGCCAAATTGGTATCTCACCTTTCTCTCTATGTTTCTAATAAATTCTTCAGTTGTTGCTTTGTGTTTTCTTCCTATTGTGTATAAAAACATAATTATGCATCCATGCCCTTTATTTTGGGTTCAAGTTGCTATATTGGTATCTCACTACTATTTGTTTATGCGTTATGCAGTTCATAATACGAAAGAAACAATTTTGAAGTGGTTCTCTTTTTTCTTTTCATTGAAATTCTTGGTTTCCTTTTCAGGTAATATGACATCACTAATAATGCCAGCAGCTACCTTGGGAGCAGTGGGTTATGGTTACATGAGGTGGAAGGTGTGCAGATTATGTTCTTTGTAAGTAATTTATAGTTCAGGTAAATTAATTTATAGCTAACGGTGATTTTTTTCGAGTTATTATCGCCTTCTTATTACTTAATGACTAAAATTAGTTTTTGTCACATGATTCATTTGGTTGTGATTTGTTGCAGTTCAAAGAAAAAGCTACTTACACTCAATAGGAAATTGATGCATTAAGAATAGAGTGGGCTGAGTATGTTGATGACTTCATCCTAATAGATAAAACACTAGACTAGCTAGCTTGTGAAATTTTAAATTAAGTGGTTTTATTTTAGTAGGAAATCTCTACACATTTTATTAAATGTGTTGATTGTGAGATTGTTTTTTTGTAATACTTGGATTTACAAATTTATGAAGCAATACTAGTTTATTTAAGGTAAATATCTTGCTTTCTGGATGAATTATTTCAAATTAAAAATACATTATATATGTCATCAAACATATTTACGGACATGTATTAAACGGCTTATGACACACTTTTTGTGTCGTTGCTAATATTCAATGACACTGCAAATGGTTTCAGTGCTATAGTCCATCATGCTTTACATATGTCATAATTAGTATACCATGACGCTCATTCCTATATTTATGACATATATTCCGCGTCTTAAATTGAAATAGATGACACACTTTTTTAATTCAATGACGCTTGTTAGGCGTCTCTAGCAGCTATACATGACATTGTGAGTATGTCATGTTTAGTATACCATGTCGCTCATTCATTTATTTATGACACTTATTCCGCGTCTTACATGGTAATAGATGACACAAATTCTTAATTCAATGATGCTTTTTAGGCGTCCTTAAAAGTAATACATGACACTTTTTCAACGTCATAAAAATATCTTTAATGACACCTACAAAGATGACGCTAAAAGCTTGCATCATTAAACTTTTAACATGACGCATAAACTACGTCATGTATGTAAAAATTTGTAGTAGTGAAAAAAACACGTTCTGTTGGGCTAGGCCCGAAAGTCGAATTCCTCATTACTGGCCGTAGGCCCATCCCATATAGCAAGTCTGATGATTGAACCTTACAAATATATAGAGTTTAAGTTCTGCTCAAGTACTGATTAGTTAGGAAGTTAACATCGCGCAAACCAGTGTTTTGAACTCATTTCACATTGTATCTAGTGAATCCGAACCTTTAATTTTTTAAGCATCATTGGAAGAACCAAACTAATATACCATTGCTAGTTATATATGCATTCAATGTCCTTAATTTGTAGGGATTCCTACTTTTAGAAAATTTAGGGAAGGAGCCAAGCAAATTGACATCTAGAATATCACACAAAAAGTAGCTAAGGCTTCATTATATATTGATTTGATCAGTAAAACTAATTAGATAAGGATTGAAATTCAGAAAAGCACAAGGTGCTAGTTAATTAGTACATGGAAAGTTCTTACAAAACAAAGTACATCAAAGCTGAGATTAATAAGCTCATATCCATATATAATTTAACTTGGCCAACTTGACTAAGTGGGATAAAAATAACCCACCAAGTTAAGTTTCTGAATCAGTTATGGCTGCTCTGCTAGCTCTATCTGCCATGCTATATATGTACTATATATAACACCACCATCTTTATTTGATTTTCCATACATATATAGCTTCAAGGTAGAGATCATACATATATATTTGTGTTTGACCCTGCAACATAACAAGCATATTTCTGCGTCAGATGAATATCTAAGAAAAATTCTTCAAATAGTTATTGCTTTTATCACTTTGAAGCATCATATATTTGTGGTTATAAAAGGATGTGAAAAATAGAAATTTTTTCATGTGATGTGACACCTTCACATGGTGCTGATATTTGAGATTTTATTTAACTTATTATATAATAATATAGACACACCTGTTCTAATATGAGCAGACCAATAATACCATTCGACGCATATTAAAAGAAAGGACAATTCGTGTTACCTGCTATTAGGTGGCGAGTTCACATAATGCGTAGAGCAAATAATTAGTAATAAAGTGAACCTACAGAAATGAGACGTCAAACGTACATATTAATCATGGAGAATAAAAACTAATAATATTCATTATTAAGGGAAAATGATTTTCGCCGAATCCTTTTTCTGGAGATCTTAGGAATTTCGTAATCGTAACAGTTCATCGTATATCGTACTGTTAGAAAGCATTTCAAAATTTAAAATTAAATATAAATAATACTTAAAGAAAACTGATCACACGTTGTATGATAAACGATCATTATCACGGAATTTTTAGGATTTCTAAATAAAGGATCCGGCGAAGATAAGTAAAAAGCCCACAGATACAGATCATACCCTGCCACCAGTTTCCTCTTGAAACACTGTTTGCATTATTCCCATTTGCATCGTCCTCGCCACCATCTTTCTTAGACTAAAAATTAAATTAAAACAATATCATTAGTGTTTACTTCATAAAAAGCGAATAAGAATAAACAACCAAAACAAAACCCTAATTTTCGCACTTACAGTATGGTGCTGGTGGGATTCAGTTGTCCCAGTTCTTGGACTATAATTCTCTCGGCTGCCATAGTAGATTGATGAACTGAAGTTGCATGGCTCCACAGCTTCGTTTTGATACATATTGGAAGCTTTGCTGGTTTTGCTTTCACCCTTATTATCCGAAAAACATGGACTCCCATACTTCCCAGCTTGATCTCCTAAGCCCTGCCTTCTCTCCCTCCCGGCTCCCTAAAATCAAAATTTAAACCCCACAGGTTAACAAAAAAAATAAAATAAAAAAGCTGTAATTTGATAATGAATGTATGTCTCGCACCGAAAACATGACAATACCAAGGATTTGTTGGATAATCATTGTAGTTTTAAAAAACTAGATTTTAATCCCTAAATAAAATGAAATTTAGAAAAATGTCTTATACAAGATTAAAAATTGATTTTAATCCCTAGATTCTATTAAATGTTAACATATGTATTCAATGTTTCTCTTTTTTATTTATAATTTTATGGTTTCATAAATTAAATTTTATGAAAATATTATAAATTTTAATTCTCATTATTGTGAGTATCTTATATAAGAAAATATATTTTCGTAGAGATTTTTCGATACACTTATGTTTTTGCATATTTTTTTATGTGCCACTAATTCATTACAATATATTTAGGTACGAACATTTCGGTACACTGGGTTAGTATAATATGTTTAGGTATGGATATTTAGGTACACTAGTTTAGTATAATATATTTAGGTATCGACATTTCGGTACACTAGTTTAGTATCATATGGTTAGGTACGGAATTTTCGGTACACTTATATTTTTGCATATTTTCTTATGTGCCACTAATTTACTACAATATATTTAGGTACAGACATTTTCGGTACACTAAATTAGTAAAATATATTATGATACAGACGTTTAGATACACTAATTAGAGGAAGTTAAATAAAATTAATGAATTAAAATGTGTATAATAATAAATTTAAAATTTAATGTAATGATGTTAAATAAGATATCTATTAAATATTAAGACAAAAATATAATATAAATATAAATTTGAATTAAGTACACATTAAGGGACTAAAATCAATATCCAATCTCACACCAGGTTTTTATTAAATTTTAACATTCTTAAAGGATTAAAGTTCAAAAACCCTGGTAGTTTTTACAAAAGCAAATGAAAACCAAAATCTAAGTCAAATTTTGAAAACTCAAGAAATAGCTTTCAGTTTTGAAACAATTGCTAAACAAGTTTTGAGCTTTTAGAAAAGTGAAAGTGAAAATGAAACGATTATCAAATGATAATCTTAAATAAATAATAAGCATGTACCGTTGATGGGACTGGTGGGAAAAGAGAGCCAAATAATCCCGAGGAGGATGATGAAGAAGAAGATGAAGAGGAGTCCTTGGGACCAAAGAGATGGTCCAGATTCCTTGCTGATGGAGAAGAAGAGCCATGGCTTGCACCACTTCCCACTTTCTTGTTGTTCTCCATAGTAGTGATGAATTAGAAAACTGAAGCTAAAGTTGGTATGTTGCAAAAGCTGCTTTCAGCTTTGTAAACCAACGAACAGATTAAAACTCTCGCCTTTTGATAGTTGTTGATAGTTATCTCTTAACGGTCAAAGACTCGGAAGCAGAAATTGGATGAGGTTCCTAGAATACCGATCAGAATTCAGAAACCAACAACTTCAGAGATAAAATTGGAGGGAGGGCAGATAGGAAGCAGGAAAGGGCACGTGAAGATTTGCAGATGTGGAGAGACTGAAGGTGTCACTCGCTATTTATAAACCCAGAAGGAGAGAAAAAATAAATAGAAAACTAGATTTTAATCCTTAAATTAGATGAACATTATACAAGATTAAAAATTGATTTTAGTTCCTAGACTCTATTTAATGCCAACATATTAAATGTCTTACTTTTTTATTTATAATTTTATGGTGTTCATAAATTAAATTTTATGAAAATATTATAAATTTTAATTCTCATTATAGTAAGTATCTTATATAAGAAAAATTTTTCGTAAAGATTTTTTGATACACATGTTTTTGCATATTTTCTTATGTGCCAAATTTATTACAATATATTTAGGTATGACCATTTCGATACTCTAGGTTAGTATAATATGTTTAGGTACGGACATTTCAGTACACTAGTTTATTATAATATATTTAGGTACTGACATTTCGGTAGACTAGTTTAATATCATATATTTAGGTACGGAATTTTTTGGTACACTTATGTTTTTGCATATTTTCTTATGTGCCATTGATTCACTACAATATATTTAGATACAGACATTTTGGTACACTAATTTAGTAAAATATATTATGATATGGACGTTTAGGTACACTCATTAGAGAAAGTAAAATAAATATAATGAATTAAAATGTGTATAATAATAATAATAAATAATTTTAATTTTAATTTTAATTTTAATTTTAAAATATAAATATAATATAAATTTGAATTAAGTACACATTAGAGGACTAAAATCAATATCCAATCTAACACTAGGTTTTTATTGAATTTTAATCTTCCTCAAGGATTAAAGTTCAAAACCCCAAAAATAAACTAGAGTTAGCTCTAAGGTTGGACTGTATTCAGTTTTTTATATTCAAAACACAATAATAATATAATACCTGTATCTAGCCATTTTAATTTACATTATAAGTGCATGAAATATTAAGTATGTAATATATATTGTATAATATGTAAATTAATAATGCTATATATTGGTGTAACACTTTTCAGTTTGCATGCATTATTATGCTATTCTTACCATCTACTTACACAATCTCTCTAAAAGAGATGATATCCGTATGCGTTGACGAATCCTATCTTTATTAGTAAAATGACACAAATAAATAGTAAGTATAACATTATTTATCAATGTTTCAATGCTAAACCCATCACTTGTCTCTGGTCCCCAA